TTGGAGAGAAGCCAAACACCAAGAGCATTGACCCTTTCCTGCCGCGTTAATACAACATTGTTTGTTTATATTGTACTGGCATTTAATGACTGTTTTTTTGCGTGGAAAGCGTAATGATGTGACGTAAATTTAGCAATGTCTATGGACATATTGTAACACACTGTAGGCAGAGACGGTAGAAAATATACTAATAGAAAGGAAAATAATACATTTACTTAAATATTTCGTGGTTTATTAAATAATACATTTAATAAACCACGAAATAAAAAAGATACATAACCTCTCCGCTCCCCCGCGGCGGAGAGGTATCCTAGGAAGATTTCCCCACGAAAAAAAAAGTTCCGACACACACGTTAACTAATTTTAATTGTTTTTAAAAGAGAATGTTGTGCTCTATTTTTTGCTATTTACAACAGATATTTGACCATTTGTCACTTAGCCTTAGTTAATAAATAATTACAAAACAAAATAGAAATTAAATTAAATTAATACACAAACTATTCACATAAACGAGCACACAAGTCTGCGCGTCTAACCCGTCGACTTAAGCTACTCAAGGGCAAAAAATGGAATCTACAAGACCATTTATAAACAACCCAAATAAAAGAAGACCCAAACTGGAGCCCTGAGGTACGCCTGAAATTCAAAAGAAACCGAGCCATAAATCATAGACTGTAACGTGCTGTATGCGGTTTCCAAATAATTTCCTGACTTATTAGACCTATATGTGCATGCCCCTATGACGTTTAGTAAAGAAAAAACATATTACACCTAGTTTTATCACTTGTTTACTTGAAATTTTTTAGTGCATGTTTTTAAATAGACAATACACGTATGGGCACAGTGAAACTATACTAATTTTGTTGCTGTTAACAGACTGGTAATTCTGTTGGCGATTGGCAATAGATACCCATTATTATTGGATTAATATTTCGTCATTTGTAAATTTCCAGGAAACTTGGAATGAACATTACGAGTACTGCTTTGTAAAAACCCCTAATATTAATGGTCTGGTCGTACCTATTATACTTTATGTAAGTATATATTACAGGACCTATAAATAAATTTATTGATTTATTAACGTCATACTAATAATAATAATAATAATAATAAATCGTTTATTTTTCTCCCAACAAGTACAAGATGTAGGTCATACAATATAAGTGAGAGGTTGGGAGACAGGAGCCCAAACTAGGTTAGACCTGTGCTATGAGTCACCTGGCCTCCAACACCCGGAATTCAATCTCCGGTCGATAAAACAAGACGACTATGGTAAAGGGATAGCAAAACAGTAGGTAGCAAACTATAAAAAGAAAGAAAAATAAATCTTAACTAGAGATTAAAATGCTAATAATATAAACAAAATTTATATAGGTACGTAAATGTGTGTGTGCGCATGTGTGTATCGCGGGGGCGTGCGTGCATGCGTGTGTGTGTGTGTGTACGTGCGTGCGTGAGTGCATGCATGCCTATGTGTGTGTGTGTAACAAATTGCAATATTCCCAGACATCAAACCGTAGCGTAGGTGACATTAGAAGATCCGCAGTCTTATCAAAGTTGAGTGTCTGAAGCCATCCAGAAACAGCCCTTTTGCATTCCCATCTTGTGTGGTAAATATGAAATAATTTATTGGCTTTATTGTACAATCAACCACCTTGACATAAATATTTTTTTTTTGAATGAAAGAAGTTCTGCCCTTATAATGACCACATACCATGTACTCCCGTCTATTGGGATTATTTTCCCCCTTAAGGGGTATTCAATGTCCTGATGTTGCCTGACAACAGAAGCTAGGATAAATAATTGCCTCACAGTTAGACCTCCACATTTCTCATATAAAGATGACGTAGGATAGAGTCGAGGTTTAAAATTACTAATCTTTAAGACCATTCTTTACGCACGTTCAACCTCCAACATAAAGGTTTTAGACAAACCACCCCAAGCACATATGCAATACATCAGAAGCGATTGACACAGTGAGAGATAAACCACTTTCATGAGATTACTAAATATACTAAACTACCATCACAGATTATTATTATCCAATGAGATAGTCTCGACAATATAATTAATATTTACAAGTATATATATATATATATATACTTGTTATTAATCTAACTTATGACAACAGATACCTTTGTAAATTCACTCAGAGGACACGTAAATATATATCCACCTCATTCATTATCAATCAAGTTCATGACCCGTGTTGCGCGTGTGAGCAGCGCCTCTCTTTAACATGTTGGTGCGCGCATATGGCACCACCAGTAGCTGCGGCCGTCGCCTTCGTTCCTCATACCTGTTTGGCACCCTAAAATTTATGTGCCTCAATCATGGTCAATCCGCGTTTTCATTTTTTTTACCCTTAGTACTTTAAAAATATGTATGTTACTAATGCTACGTTCTCCCGACTTCCAGTTTATTATACCCTATCATGCCTAATATAAATTATGTCGCGTGCATTCGCGGGTAGAATGGATATACCCCGTACTGTCTAGATGCATACATCTTATAAATTTTTTCTGTACCTTCTCAAGCATAAGGTTATACTTTTTCTCGTGTGTCGCCCAATCAATTGCATTGCTCTCGAGCTGGCTTCTCACCAGAGCACTATATAAAACTATGAATGATCGCTTTAATATTCGTGAAACTACCTCATTTACCACACAAATAATGCGCACGCTCATAGTCCCGCACTAGGGAAACCATGTTTTGCAGGTGCCATGGACACACACATAAACAACCATTAACCAACCAATGGTAACCAGTTTGTCCATGGAGGCAGTTTACCTATACAATTGAAAGGTAATGAAGTAAAAGTCGGAATACCGATCTGTTGTCTAGACAGATTGTCACCACTAGCAGCCTAGCGTCATACATAATTAATCATGTGATAAAATTGACAATGTAAAAATTATATAACTTTAAATTAATGTATGAAGTAACATGTATGATGATCTAAGTAGCACAATGGTTTGTACTATGAGTGCTGAATGGAAAGCTCCCAGGTTTGATTCCTGGTAGGACTAATTTGGGAAATGAATCTTTCAAGTTTGGCTCTGGTCTGGGTTTTCCTAGTAGTGTAACAAATTTTGTTATTCTGGTACTTATACCAGATAATTGGAGTGGTTGTCTCGCCCAGGAGTCCTTCCAATTATTACTTGATCCAGGCCCTGTACTCTGGTTCTCCATCCAAAACATATACTGTCACATAAGCAATATTTGACCAAATTAAAATATGAAGGTAGTAATTGTATCAGACGGATGTCAGATGAAGAACGGAAGTTGACTCAGGAATAAAACCTCTTAACTTTTTCCAAATTGATCTTACTGGGAATCCAATCAGGGATGTCTTTGCAAACTGTAAAGCCATCAAAGTCTTATGAGTTTAATGTAATATATATTTTTTATATTATGAACTTACTTAACACATTAGAAAAAAAAAATTGTTTTGGACCTAAATTGGGTGTATTTGTTTTTTCAAACAAAGCAACATTACAGACTCTTTATTAAATAAATAATAAATTACTTAACAAAAAAAAGCTTTAGTAGTAGAGGACCTTGTGAATGAGTTTGAAGGCTAGGGTACTGGTGAAATTACAGGCATCAGGGACTTGTCAACTTATGTCTCAGGGTGATGGGTGCAGTGACAGTACCTCTAAGATCTTTATGATCTAAAGCTCTAAATGGTATTGCAACTGTTATAGACAGGCGCGTCGCGTTTATCCCGTCATTTGATATTATAAAAAAAAATCATCATCATATCAGTAAGACGTCCACCACCGAACATAGACCTCCTCCAAAGATCCCCATCCTTTCCTCGAATCCTTTTGCAAAATCACATTTCCATAAATAGCACACGTCGTCACTAAACAAGTAACTCGTCTTGTTATGTTGCTACAGATATTTATTTAGACATTTTTATGGCGGTACTTATAACTTTCCATGCACTATTATAACGTAACAAGCAGACCATAACTTATTTGTAAACATTACGTGATGGTCAAACCTGTTTGTGATATATTTCCCAATTAGAAAGTCACGACTAAACCTATGCTTCAATTTTATAATTAAATAAACCCTTTGCAGAAACTTTAGCCTTAAAAAACGTGTAAATAAATAACGTTAGAGGTCACGTGTTACTAATTTAAGGGTATTTTAATATTACATTTACGTAAATACAACTATATTCCACAAATAATAATTACAAATGTAAATAAGCTGTTAAGTTAAATAAGAAAACTTACTTTATTTTGTTCTTAGGTAGAAATAAAGTTGCTGCGTATGTAGGTTGAAGGCTTATAACATAACTTTGATCGTTTCACTAAGCGTATTATTTAATTAAAATATTTTATTTACAAGACAATCACGAAACACGTTCGCTCGATATAAAGTACGATTACTTGCTGCGGCCATTTTAGGGAGGCTAGTCACGTGTATCCATTTACCATAGAATTTAGTTCCGTTTTCCTGACGTTTTCATGATTCATATTTACTTGACTACTGCAAAATATATCATTCAAAGAAATACTTACTTGTTCTTTTTATGATACTTTCGAAGTATACAATTTTATAACTATATTATATTATAACTTGATAAAAGAAATACATTTGTTGTATAAAGTTCCTTGCTATCAAGGCAAATTTTATAAATTGGCAATATTATAATGAAAACGTTTCAATTTACGCATTGTTTATTGAAAACCAAGTCTTGAAGTAATTCAATAGTAATAGTAGTGCTTACAAAGAAACGTAACATTATTTACTACAATTTTTCCATGAAAATTCTTGTGAAATAACACGAAAACTTATTAAAAAAATATGTCTTCTAAGACGCAAATACTATCTCTTTACAAGAGTTTAATGAGGGAGTCACAAAAATTTGCCAATTACAATTTTAGGTAAGTAAACAATTCGGTAACAAATCTAAAAATAGTGTTTAACATTACATAACCTCAAATCACGTATTTTTTGTTAGTTTACTGTGTCCATGAGTCTATTTACTTGTTAATCTCGGTCATTTGGAACTTCATCGATGTGGCCTTGTGTTAAAAATTTCGAATATTTTTCTAGAGCCTACGATTCTTCATTATTTTCGTAGGTGTCAACAGTAAACATCTCGACTCGTATCATTTATTATCGGGAATTCTGTAACGTCCCCTATACGGTCCACTGCTACACGAGGGCTTCCACTAAGTAGAATATGGAAGACGACCATGCTGACTTAATGCGTGTTGGAGACTTCTCACGTTCTTCGACATGCAGGTTTTTGTACGATGTTTTCTTGACTGAAATTTTAAGTGGGAGAAGCTGTAATCCCCGGCAATGGCGCACTCGGTCGGGGTCAAGGACTCCGGTTCATGAACCAGTGACAAATACTTGCCGTATCGAGCGCCTTTTAAATTTACTGTAAGCCACACGCCAGAGAAGTAGAACCGATTAAAGTTGTTAGCGGGGTTGGCTGGAATTAAGGGTCTTATCACGCGGCGTATTTTCGCTACGTTTTCACTACGGTTTTGGACACTCGAACTTTTTCGTTTCGAATTCGAACGTTGCTTCGAAAACGCAGGAAACGAGAACAAAAGGAGATACAACGACCAATTTAGGAGGATCTATTATATCAGTAAATCGACTGGAACAGACTAACTACCCGTCTTATTTTGAAAACGTGTCAAGAATAATCCTAAACATTGTAGGAATTTTGACAAGTTGTTGCATTTCATAGAAAAATCACTTCAACCATGAAAACACACTTAAGATTGTCGTTGGCAACTGAAGTAAGGCTTGTATTTGTTGCCCACGAATTCCCCGAATAGTGTCAGATTGCCAGCATACCCTATTTTCTTTGTGCTGTCCGTTTAGCTCTATTTCACCATCAATCAATAGGACTTTAAACCAAGTTAAACAGCATGAGCGATAACACTTCTCCTTGCTTCAGACCGTTACTGGTCTGACACTTCAAATTCCTGTGTGAATAATATTATTGAAAAGAGTAAGTCCGCCCTTCTCACTCTCTCTCTCTATAATTTGCAGTGCCCTAAAGGGTCCATAATGCTTTGCTAGCAAGGCAATTTACCCTTACTTAGGCAATAGACTCACGGTATTCATCAATTTAATTTCAGATCGTACAGTCTTCGCAGAGTACGAGATGCTTTCAAAGAAAACAAGGGCCTAACGGACCAGAAGCACATAAAGAAGGAAATAGAATTTGCTAAACAAAGTTTTGGAGTTATTCAACGACAGGTAATACCTCATTACAATATCCAAGTTCAATGTTACATAACTACATAACTTTATATTAATGGTTGTCTAACTAAACATATTAGAATAGAATAGAATAGAAATTTATTGCAAGGCCACAACACATAGATACAAAAAAAACAAAAATTGATAACACAGGCAAACAAAAGAAAATAAAAAGACAAGAAAATAAAAAAAAATAGTCTTATTTTATGTTGTTTTTTATTGTATCATTTTATTAAATCAGGCAAAAAGTAAAAAGCAAAATATAACAACTACAAATTTTGTACTATCATATGTGTGTCATGTGCTTGACTTCATTCAGCATAAGCCACAGCCATGATTGACTGTGGCGCTGGTTTTCAATGAGTGGCATTGATATTCGGTTTTCCCAGATTAGTTGCCGGTTTGTTACTATTATGGATACAAAGACCGAACAAATACAAAGAAAAATTGCTTCGACAATAGACACTCACAAGCTCTCACAGGTGGTGCTATGGTAAAAGAAAGCTGATTAAAAACCGAATAGATAATCCTGAACAAGCACATAGAGAAATTTGTAAGACCTTCTGGCTCGGCCCATAGTTGGCTGAGCGTGTAGCAATGTTGAGACGACAGACACTGCTTCTAGTCAAGTCAAATCGAGGAATTGTTTTTTGTATGTGTTCGATCTTCGTATTATTATTATACTTTGGATATCTATTATTTAACTGCCTCCGTGGCCGAACGGTTACCATGCCGGACTGCCATGCAGAGGTCCCAGGTTCGATTCCCGGGCCGGGAGAAATAGTTGTATGGCCTACAATTATTTCTCTCGTGAGTTTGGGTGTAATTTGTGGTTGTCTATGTGTGTCCATGGCACCCGCGACACAGGGTTTCCCTAGTGCAGGGATATGTTGAGTGTGTGCGTTAAAAAAAAAATAGACTCCCCTCTCCCAAAGCCTAAAAGATTAATTTTTACTTTTTAAATGGGTATTCCCCGGCAATGGCACAGTCGGCCGGGATCAGGGGCTCAGGTTGAAAACAGAACCGCTGCAATTGTGCTGGAAGCGACATGCCACAGAAATTCAACCACCTCAAGCTGCTAGCAAGGCTGACTGGAATGAACTCATTTGCGCAAAACAAGTGGGATGATTTCAGTGGAGGCCACATCCCACATGTCGGTGATCTCGTGCGCCAGGTCGAGGTACTACCGGCGTTATGGACAGGCGTGTCGCTGTCTACCAGGCGCACGACTTGTTCGTTCCGCTGCTTGGAAATTTTGGAAAAACATACCAGCAATTAAAATCCGAAAAACTAGTTTAATTTCCAATTTTTGTCTGTATGTTTATGGTTAAAAATAATTTGTAGGTGAAATAAGTTTCTTTGTATATTTAAGTATGTAATTTTTTTATCTTGTTCTAGGCAGCCATTGGCGACATGTACAAGACGGAGAAGCTCGTCATAGAGAATATGCGATAAAATTGTTACTTCTCTGTGAATTGACCAAATATGTGTATATATATACCGCCACGCCCATCTCCCACTGCGGTAGAGGCTATACCCGCCGCGCTTCTGACTTGTATACATCATTTGCATCCTCTTCTTGTACACTTCATTCGCATCGTCTTCAATCTTCATACGTACACACACACACACACACCTTTACACATTTAGGGTCATAATAAAAGCGAGAAAATAAAATAGCAATAGTCATAAATAACAATTAAATTAACATCGACTTAGTACAGTTTTACTAAACTTTTATTGAAATTCAAATTCAAATTCAAATTCAAAATAATCTTTATTTCATTATTACACTTGAAATCGTCACAATGGTTAAACTCTACCGCTCATTCGTAAGGCAGATTCCCCTGAGAAGAATGAGCAAGAAACTCTAGGGGTTGCTCTTTGTAAATAACATTTACAATTTTTTTTTATTTGAAACATCAGAGATCGAGACTACTTCCATGAGCTAAACGGGTTACTACCACGGATTTTTGTTATCCAAGTTCGCAGAAGTTGTTTAATACCTTGTATAAACCTTTAGTATAAAGTTTTTGTTTCACTATAGTTTTAAACCTCGTGAAAGGCAAATTTTGTATATCAACCGGAATCATATAGAAGCGTATACATTGCCCCTTAAATGATTTTTTGACTTTGTGAAGACGACTATCAAGAAAAGCTAGTTTATTTTTATTCCTCGTATTAATGTTATGTCTGTCACTATTTTTCATAAAGAAATTACTATTCCTTTTAACATAAATTACATTCTCATAAATGTACTGTGAGGCTAGTGTAAGAATGTTAATTTCCTTAAA